ATCGTACTTATATGAAAAGTATTGTAGATAGTTTATAATCTACTAAAAGTTCTATTTTTCATTAAAAAAAATATATATAATAATTTTTCCTCATAAATGCTGTCTAGTTGGTCAACATTGTAAGGCATTTTTCGACACCATTCTAAGGTTTTTTTTTAACTTTTTTTTACCATTTTGTAGAGGAGAAAAAGTTGTACAACATATGTGAAATTCAGTCTGCGATCTCATAAAATGACTAAATGGCAGCCAATACATTGCAAAAAATCCACTTATTTTTCACTCGAAAAATGATGGGTCATGGACAGTATTTCATAGATAACTATGGATTAGTCCATAGAAAAATAATATGTAAATAGGTAATTTTGTTCAGCTTTTGATGCTCTATCTTTTGGTATATTACATGAAAAATTTCGTTATTTTGATGTCATCGATAAATCTCCACTTTATACGAACGACTTTTGATGATATTTTTCAAATATCATCGTGAGCGTTCGACAGTAAAATTGAGCTAACTTTTCGCCAGCTTAACCAAATGGGCTAAAAATTTGGATTTAGAGGTTTTCGATGATGCTGAACAAAATGAGAATATCAAATAAAAAAAAATTTTTTGACGAGTGCTTCGATATCTGGCATGATGCTCGATCATCTCATGGGTGCTCTCTTAAGTCCTATCCAGAGCTGACGCCTAGGTTATGGGTCTGGATGGATGTGGATGTGGGTGGGTGTAGGTCTTTCGTTTAACTGTACCCACGCCCACGCCCACACACCCATACCCATATCTTGAGGGTGTGAGTTTGGATCTTTCATTTTCATCGATAGCCACGCCCATACCCACCCCCTAATTAATATGGGAACCATGGGTACTCTTTACGGCACGGAGACAAAACGGATACAACATTAATGAATTCCAGATAATACAATCCTTATTTTGATGCTTGTCAAAACATCGGAAACATGTTTTGTTTTGAGAGTTTATTCAGGTTGACGATTATGTTCCGTCTCTGATAGCGTTTTTAATTTCCTTTTTTATAATTGTGTCAATATTTCCAGGTCAGATGTCGATTGCCTTGTAATATTCATCATTCTGGATCAGATCTAGCTTGAATTTCTGCATGACACGAGTTTCTCTATAACGATATGACGTAAAATTCTTTGAATCTACTGAATTTTACACTGAAATCTTGTCATAGCTTTCACATTTTGATATCAATAAATTCGATTTTTAATGCGCTTTAATTTTGTATAAAACTTGTTATGAATACCATTTGAAACTTCAGCGTTGCTCTCCTGGAAAAACATTCTTATACACCTATACATTACAACTCTTTAGTAGCGGCAGCTTAACAATCTAAATCGAGCGAATATTTTATAGAGGGAGCTCAGCTACCTCCAGCTCCCCCCTCCCCTGGTTCCGCCACTATTTGGTAGCAGTGAGTGTGGTTCTAAGCAAAATTTACTTCTACACACAAATACGTACCCACACCCTCATAATAAGATTTAGGGTGTGTGTGTGTGCGTGTTCCCTTTATTCGCATCCATACTCCCACACCCACACCAACACTCTCACTCGAAAAGACTCGTCATATTCAATAGTGGCAAAAAGTATGGTCACGTAGAGACCATAAATATTTTCTTTCATAATCAAATCTACGATATCATTTTTTACGAGACCTATAAAGAGTACCAATAGCACTGCTAATACCACCAATAGTAACACCAGCAGCAGTACCGGCAGCGGCACCAAGAGCGCAACCAGCAGCAGCACCAGCAGCAGCAGTAGCAATAGCACCAGGACCGAGAATAACAACGGCAGCACCACCAACAACAGCACCTCCAGCACAACCAGCAACAGCACCAGCAGCAGCACCCAGACCACCACCAATAGCAGCAGGACGGAGAATGCTACAATCAGAATTTTTATTGCACATCTTAGTGAGCTTCTTCTGAATCTTATTCATCTGATCTCCATGGCATTTTTCGTTCTTTTTTTGCTCGTCCTCAGTTGTGCAGATCTGTGTCTTGAAATTTTTCTCTTCATCGCCTTTGTTGCTGTTGCATTGAACATGCAACTCGTTCCTTGCGATGTTATAGCATTTCTCTACTTTCTTAAAAATTCCTTTCTCATCTTCAACTTTTTCCCAAAGTTGCTGATATTGTTCCTTGAGACCTGTTTTTTTTTCTTTATGTACAGTTTCCAACTCGACACCAGTAAGTTCATGACCTTTTTCTGCTTCTGCTGCTTGTTGTTTTGCTACTTCTAATTTGAACATCATATCTTGGTCTTTTCTGACAGCTTCATACGCCACTGTCATTTGCGTGATTTGAAGTTCAAAGACTTGTTTGTTTTCTTCAGCCTCCAGATATAGCTTTTTTAGAGCTTCTCTTAGTATGCGAAGTTCGTTGGATTGCACGATAATATCAGCTTGCATTTTTTGCTCGCTTTCATGGTGCTGTGCGACGAAATGAAGTAGTCGATCACGTGTTGCATTAAATTTCTCATTATCTTCAGAATTCAAAGTATCGAGAAAAAACATGTCTTCCAATGAGATTCTAATTGGATATAGCATTTTTGTAAGCAGCGCAAAAAATCTGCCTTCGTATGTTGGTGGTCGCTTGCTCGGTATATTGTTCACAACAAACATCAAAGATTCGGACGAAAACTTATAGGCTTCTTTGAGAGCTTTGAAGGCAATGATATCATCCGGCTGCGGTCGTCCACTCACCGATGACCATACAAACATGACAACCGATATGGGAGACTGGTAGAAAGCTTTCATAATTTCTCTCTTGTTTCGATCGATTTCTTCTTGATGAGATTCAATCAACCCTGGAATATTGTATATGAGAAGGTCGCTTGATCCGGCATCAATTCGATGGTACTCTGCAGTAGTTGTAACTGCTTCTCTCCGAAAGTCAGTTTCGAATCTTTCATAGCCAATTATCATATTGCAAATGTAACTTTTGCCCGTTCCAGCATTTCCCAGAATGAGGAGACCGTACTCTGGCTTTTTTGTTGGAACACAATTTGCTTCCATTGTCTGGAGCGATCAATTTATTTGAAATCTGCAAAAAGAAGAGGAAAGTTAATCAATTATAATGTTTCCAACGAGAAGATGTTAGAATAAGCAGTCGTTTCTTTGTAAATTCTGTGACGAGTCGACGGTCATTCAGATATACATGTTCATTCCGCGTATGAGACTATGCATATGCAAATTATCAAACATTCTACTAACATATCGTTCGATTTTATGCCAAGCATTCTGAAAAATGCACAAAATCAAGTATATAACGTAGAAACGAGGAGATTTTTGCATCCTTTCCCTGAACATAGTCATGTAAAAGAGAATATTTTAGAGCCGTAATCGGATTTTTGACGACGAGATTTTGTACATTACAACGATGTCAAACTTTTGATGAAGTCTTCTTTTAAGAATAACTAAAATTTTTTAATAGACGTCTTTATATACGTATGACATTTATGCTTGTATCACATTTCATCTTAATCTCTCCTTTTCGTCTCCATGTTTTATCGTCCATATTTAAGCATTAAATCATATACGTGTATAAATATATATCCTCTCGTTCTCTTTCTTTCTCTCTCTCGCCAGTTATATATATATATATCGAGAAACGGTGGGTGATTTTACCTCACCTATCTTTCAATAAAGGAAAAAGTGGTTACTTCACATTAAGCTATTAAATATGTAAAATGATAAACAACTGCATTACTCATGTCACACTTTTCTTTTCTTTCTTTCCTTCTGTCATATAAATTCTTTTCAAATATCCGTTGTTTTGACTGCTAAGATACAGTAATATCATACTTTCTCTCTTCTTCTCTAATCTTTTGTTTTTCGAGAGTATTTTCATTCTTTATTCGATACATATATATATATACTCCCATTCTTACTGACGAATTTACGTTGTGCTTGAATTTGTTAAGCATATCATTTCTCTTTCGAACTTTCACTCTTTATTTTTTTTACATAGTTTGTTCAATTCAAACTAAAGAAATGGAATTCTACGAAAATGATGAAGTCAACGAGGAGTTCTGTGATTCATATACCAGTGATGATAGCAGCGAGAGTGATTTCGATTACGATGAACTTGAACTTTCTGATGAAGATTTAGATGTATATGTAGAGGAGTTTCATTCAATCAATGAAAGGTATATCGCGGATGGCGACTTTACCTCAGGCTCTCTCAAAGAGCGAACTCCAGTTTCAGTCTTCAGGACCTTTTTTACTGAATAAATTTTAAGCCTTATCACCGATCAAACAAGCATGTATGGAAAAGGAACGGAACGAAATAACAATCAGAAGAAAACGAGTAACTGAAGGATGTGAGCAAAAAAGAGATTGAATCCTTTCTCGGGTTGATTATTCTAATGGATATCAATAACATGCCAAATATGAAACTTTATTGGAGTAAAGATATAATATTCCATAATATATTTATTTCTTCCAGCGTGTCAAGAAATCCTTTTCTTCAAAATTTTTATATTATACATTTGGCTGATAGCTCATTGGAACCAAAATGAGAGTTCAAAGACAACAGTAAAATGTACATAATTAAGAATTTTACTGAAATTTTACGGAGAAATTTTCAAAAAAATGATAACCTTGGTCGATATAGTACAGTCGACGAAAGCAAGATAAAATTCAAGCGAAGATCAAGCCTTAAGCAAGATTTGTCTCTAAAACCAATAAAAAGAGGTTATAAAGTTTGGTATTTATGTGATCCAATCTGTGTTGTTTTCGATCTTATATCTAGCTATAACTTTCAAAGGAAACATCTA